AGAACGATGAACCAGTCCTCGGGATCCCATGCACCGCTAGTTACCAGGCTCCGTTACCACAGTCGCAATTCTACTACGTAGGAGAAAATCCGTATCAAGCTGGAGCAATCCCTCCGACTTGCCGTTTTTGACGATCCAGAAGGATTCCATTGCAGCAGACCATCTTCAGAGATACGGCTGCTCCCTTCACATGCGTCTACTGTGGGACCTCTGGCGTCATCAGCATCAGGTCATTATCAAGAGGGTTTAGTTGATCATTTCAAAATGAGGGTTTATTACTTCCAGAAATAATTAAAAAGAGGGTTTAGTTGAAGGTTGAAACTCAGGATTATGAATCGTCGATGGCCTTCTGATTCCAATTCCATATACTTTATGGAAATCTTCTAGTTCGAATGTTTCGATAGGTAAAATGCATGGTAGATTTAGAATAAAACTGCGCATATTTTATAGTCAAAATACGTACTTTGCCAAAGGTAATAATTTCAATGCCACAGGAGCTTATGTTATCTACAAAAAGAAAAACAAACATGTCAGTGGGTCTTCAAAAATCTTCAATTATTTTTGCCAAGTATTGTGATTACTTATTTTAGGCAAGGTTCGAAGTATCCATACGATCGAGTTCAGTTCAAAGTATCGAGTTAGGTTAGAAATGGCCTAAATTTTATTTTTTTTAGTTTTTTTTTATATTTTGATTTTTTGGAAAGCTTTTAGCATGTTTTTTATTATTAAAAAAATTAGGGGTCCGAAACACCTAGAAACAGGAGTTTTGGACTGTATAGTTTTCAAAAGATACGATACGATACACCCCGTATCAGGCGTATCGTATCGATACTTTGAACCATGATTTTAGGTCTATTAGATTTTATGCAGCTTGTGCTATGGCTTTTAATATGATCTGCTGAAGAACTGGCAGGGAATAAGTGCAATTCCATGGTTATTTCTTGGTTTTTCAACTCCCTGTCCCGTGAATTACATAAAAGTGTGGCATATTGACGTGATCTAGAAAAGTGATTTTCACAAGAAAATGCTCTTCGGATCTTTCAATTAAAGAGAGACTTAGCTCTGTTTCAACAGGAGAGCCTCTTTGTTTCAGCTTACTTCACAAAGTTCAAAGTTTAATGGGATGAATTAGCAAACTATAATTCAATTCCAACCTGCTCATGTGGAGGTGCAGCAAAGGAATTTGTTGCTGAATGCGAGGAAGAAAAAGTATATCAGTTCTTGATGGGATTGGGTGAGAACTTTAATACTATTAGTTCTCACATCCTTAGTCTTGACCCCTTGCCCAACTTCAGTCGTATTTATGCACTAATCGTGCAAGAAGAATGCCACCAAAATTTCTCATCTCAATGAACACCTTTTGTTGAAACATCAACACTGCATGTAGTCGCTGCATCATCGAAGCCCCAAGATAAATCTATCCGACCAAAATTCAAATGCGGCAATTGCAAGAGCAATGGACACACGAATGACTGATGGTATGAAATCCTAGGTTATCCATCAGATTGGGTAGACAAAAGAAAATCTGCATCTGACAAGTCGACAAACAAGAGTTGCTCAAAGAATACAACTCAGATAACCGGACATTTAAACTCAGTTTCTCCAATTGCTGGTTTAAGTCTTGATCATTATCAGCAACTGATGATTTCTGATACCATCTAAAATTAATGGAAGCTCACGGTAATCTTGTTATGTCAGATATTTATAATGTACTACCGAAGACTCCAGAAATTACAACAGAATTATACAATGTGGACTCTATAACAGAATTGTACACGTGGATGTTGTTGTAACAGACTCAATATTTTATGTTCTATGTATTTGTGCTATGTCCATGGGAAAGACAGAAAGAAGGGAAGCTATTAGTGTTGGCATAATCACTAAAAGAAGGCTACGCGTCATTAATCTGACGCAATTGCTAAGTGGTTTCGGAAGTAGCATGGGAACAAAGAGTTTATGGTGTTGGCATGAAGAAGAAGTGGTGCCTAGGCGCCAATTCAGTCAAGTGTCTGTTGTCTATGTTCAAAACTCTGTCTGTCACTCCAAACTTGTGTCTTAAGGCGTGATTCCTGATTCCAAGCCAATTTGGACAAATGATACCTTGCTAGACCAATCACTGTTTTCATTTCTGTTTTGATTCAAGACGAGTTATTAATCTCCTTACTTGCTCATCCTTGAAAAATAGTAAAATTCATCTCCAAGTTTCTTTTGTCAAATACAAACCTTGAAAACTCTTCTGAAATACCATCTGGAAGGGGAAGTGAGAAAACTAAAATGGTCTTCTAGTAGGGGGGATGGCAAATAAGCATGATTTAGATAAGGGAACACTAACTATGGTCAACATTTTTTGATAATAAGGAAAGACCAGGGTCAACATTTAAAAGTACATAGAGAGTCATAGGCATGAAGCTAGGTGTGAGGACCTTTAGATATGCACAAGGCATAAGCCTTGAGGTAGGCCTCATGGGTTACCATTTTCTTTAAAGTGTTACGAATTTACAAGAGGAGCATACCTCTTAAACAGTTTTACAAGTAAAGTAATACCTCTTTAATCATGTTGATGCATAGATGCAACATTGGGGGAATAAAACTCATATTGTCAATCAGAAGCGTTTAGACATTTTCCTTCAGTACTGTTGTCTCAAGGTGTTGGCCTCATACACTGTTTAAATCACTGGCTCTGATTAGTTGGAATAGTTTTGTTGAAGAAAATCCTTACAATGCATAAATGAATAATTCAATCAGTGAAAGAGTAGGATTAATTTCATATGGTTGGGCATGTTCCCTAATATATCCCTTTGCTTGATGGAATGCATCTTATTTTTTTTCTTCCAATTTTCTTCTAACACAAGTTATTTCATATTTATTTTTATTAGTTTTATTTGCCCTTACCTTGGTTTTTAATTGCTGTTTTGGCCTTAAGATGTCGATAAGTGTGATAGGAAAGGAGAGTACCATATTTCCTAATTATGCTTATGTCTTTCGAACATTCTGTCTGAAAGCATAAAAATAACCTCTGCAAGTTGAGCTTTCATGAGCCCAGCTCGGGTTGAGTTTTGCCAAATTTTGATGAATGCTTTTGGGCTGAAAGTTGCCTTATGCCTAGAGGGTTGAAAGGAGAATGTAAGAGTAGGACTCAAAAGGGCCTGCAGAAACTAGTTTTTTTTTTTTTTTTACATGATAAAAGCTTCAATCACCTGCATTTCTGTTTGGTTTTCTGAGACTTCTTACATTTATGTGATTATGGTCTTTTGGTAATGTGATCTTTTACATTATATATAAATATATAATAAAAAATTATAAATATATATAAAAATATTATATTTTAAATAATAAATAATATATTATAAATATATATATATATATATATATTTATATATATAATGCATATTTATTAATTTATAATATATAAAATATATAAATATATATAATATACATAAATATATAGGAAATATATAGAAAAACATGTATACCGATCGGTTCGATTAACTGCTGGTTTTTTAAATTGGTTAACCGAAACCGAACTGGTACCTTCAGTTTTTTAAAAACACTGAACCAACCAGTAAGGTTAACCAATTTTTCGATTCGGTTTCAGTTGGTTTTTTTGATCGGTTTAGTTTTTTGGTTTTTCTTTTGCTCACCCCTAATGGAAGTTTTACTCCAACAAAAATTGCATTAAAACCCCACACCATATCCCAACTGTATATTGAAAACTAAGGCTGCAACTTGGGCCAGGTTGGCCCTAACCCAACCCGAATCAGGTTGGGTTGATGCTTGGGTTAGGGTTAGAGGTGAAATTCATGAACCCAATTTTATTTTGGGTTGGGTCAGGTTGATTTGTTACATATATGTTGTATGTAATATATCATACATTGATTTGTTTAGACGCATGATAGTTGTATAGTCCCCACCACATAGTATCATCTATTTCTTTTAAGATAATCACTTCACTTAATTCTAATTGGAAAGGTGAAAACCTTAATAACATATTTTATATTTTTTAAATATTTTATTTACTGCCCATAAAAGGCCTATCATACGTCATAGTTGTATAACCCACACCACATAGTATCATGTACTTTTTGAATATTTTATTCATGGTTTTCAAAACCGGACCGGGCCGGACCAAACAGTCAGACTGAAAAAACCGAAAACCGGTCACTTGACCAGTTCCGTTTTCCCCCCAACCCGTTGATTTTGGTCAGCAAACCGCTGAACTTGCTGGTTAACCGTTTGAACGGTTTTAACCATTTTTCAATTTTTTTGTCAGAATGGGCCAACCGTTCAGGTCGAACGGTCGAACCAGTAACCGGACCCCTGACTGATTCGGTCACTGATTCATTTATAAAAACCATGATTTTATTTACTCATAATAAATTATAGTCATTTCAAATACTTATTTTTCTAAATTTTGTACCAAAAAAAYCAATAAAAATGTCAATAAACAAATACTAATAAAAAATAAAATTAATATATGTAGTGAAAGTTGATTTAAGATATAAAATTGAGAAGTTCCAAGAGGATTTAAGAGATGGGAAGAAGGTTGGGTTGGGCCCAACCCGAGCCTAATTAAGACTGGGTAGGTTGGGTTGAAGGTCAGGTTGGGGCGCAAATTTGAACTCTCTCCAGCGGGCTCTCTGTGCTTACAAAGCAATGAAAAACCCATTTCAAGTTGTAATTTTCACGCCCGTTTAGGCCCTAAAAGCACTTCCAAGCGCGGCCCAATATAAGGATAGGTTCCTAACGTAAGCAATCAACTTAAGCGCTGCCAAGTGCCAACGACTGAATCATATGATGCAGGTTGGTTGGTTATGAGTTTTTCCAGCATCATGTCTTGCTGGCATCAAAGTTGAACTCAAGTGTGACAGAAAAATAAACCTGCAGTAGTGCAGTGGATCAATTAGCATTAGCGATAAGTGGAAGTATAAAACGTGGTTCCAGCAGGGAACAGGTCATTAGCGCAACGCATTTTTAATTCTCACGGTGAGACACCTAGAGGCTAGAGCAATCCTGAATACTGATCTCAAAGTTGCTCATTAGGAATTATCTATTAAATGTTTGAACACTACATCCTAAGTTTGGAAAATTAGGAATTTATACCCTAAACCTCGAAAAAAAAATTAACTCTCTGACTGGTTCCTGAAGGACATTGCCACTGCACACAGAAAGTTTTAGCTCTGGTTTCACTTCTAATGCTTAGCGCTTCTTCTTGTTGCCCTTTGGACTGGATTTTGATGGAGTAGCAATCAGATACACGAACAGGGCTAAAATGGAGATCACCGAAATCTGCGACCCATATTTTGCCAACAGCCTCTGCACACGCAAATGACGAAATCAGGCAATTAGAATTATATACCGAACTGAGATTTAGACTTAGAGGACAATGTTCGAAACGTGATAAGAGATGGTTTATAAATTATGTTTAGTATCCGCTTGCACAGATGGCAATGCGTGGTGATCAAAAGGCCCACCAGTCATCAAATGCCCCAAAGACATTCAATTGGAGCGGATTACCCCAACCAAACCATCGCTTACCATTACTTAACAGATGGTTAAGAAAGAGAAGACCAGCCCACAAGTGGTCAAGACTTAAAAGATCAAATCACCTGATGGTGGTTTTTAACCAAAAGATTTGATTGTATCCATCACATGTTGATCTTAAACAAACTACCACCACGTGTTGACACTTGTACAGCAGACATAAGGAAAGTTGGATCTTTGGATATACCAGATGCTATTAGTGGGGAGGGGACCCCTTCCTCCATAGCCCAAAATCCTTAAACAAAGGGAAAAAACAAAAAGAAAAATGAAAATACACAAGGATGAATCTCACCTTTGCCTGAGGAAAGTAGGAGCACCAAAATTGATATCATGAAAAAACGACAGTAATACTCAGTCAGTTAAGACAAAGTGCGTTAAGAATTAAGAAGCTGCTTAAAAGATTTAATTCAGGATGAACTTACCCATTCAAACTTCTTTTCTGGAGGTCTGTCAGCAAGTATATCCAAAGGAAGTAACGGGGTTGAATAAGCCTCCTAAAAATAGAAAGTTATCATAGACAAAAAGAACATTTTAGAGGTTCTTCACATAGAAAAACCAGAAACTCAGATAAAGATTTTGTGAAGGTCAAACCTGTAGAGCGGTCTTCGTGGGGATGCGGAATTTGATGACAGCAGGTGCACCATGGAATACACCTTTCACTTTGGACTCCAGTACAAAAGAGTGAGAAACAACAGAGCCACTGCCAATTACGTGGATAGTTGTGAGAAGGAGAAGTATGTTAAGTTGGGATTTGTTGAGTGTTAAAGAAAACAGTAACTCACGCATCAAGCCTTTCCCATGACTTGGAAGTGCTGCCACTGACAGGATCAAATACATCTTGGGCCCAACTATCATCAGTTAGACTTACATCATATGCAGTCCTGAAAGGACAAAAATAAAGTCATGACCAAAGAATTGAAGTAACAGACATGCGACAGCACAAAATTAAACCTAGATAAATGCCAATGAAAGCAAAAAAATAAGCAGGGGCGGAGCCAGGTTTTTTTAGTAGAGGCCAAAAGCTAATAAACATAGATTGGGGGGCAAGAGTTAATAAACATAGATGGGAAGGCCAAAATATATGTAAAATACAAATGGGATTGTAGGAATTTTTAATCCATGAAGGGGGGGGGGGGGNCTCCCCTCCACTACCCCCTCGCGCTCCGCCCCTAAAAATAAATCCCTTACATTTCAGGACAATTTAAAATAAATAAAATATACAACCAACAACATATGTCAATCCGAGATGGCAATCTGGGAGACCCTTTTCACTGCATGACCACCATAAGGCAATCAAACCTATTCCACTAGTGCATTCATTATGGTCCACATCTTATCAAATAGTCGACTGACTTCAAAGAAACTTGTGGATATGCTACGAGTATGTAGAAATAGAAGGGAAACTGTTAAAAATGGGTTAGGAGCAGATTAGCATAACAGGTCTGGTAGGAATGGGTCCCTATGGATGGTGCAAGCTTAATACAGATAGCTCTACACAGAGAATGTGACACAATGGGTTTGGTTCATAATTTCATGAAGCATCAAGCATTAGTTTCACAAGGCTATTTTTGTGGCTGATAGTCTTGCAACAATATCTTTGGTAATAATGCATCTAAAGATCCCCCACCACCTCTTTCCCCCCTTGAGATTAGGTTAACCTGGTTTGAGGATCTAGTAGGGGTGGGTTAGGTGACAGATGTAGAATACTCATTTGTTAGTAAATAAAAGTATCTATCTTCTTCCCGAGACCAAAATAATGGATAAACCATGCAGTTTTAGGCAGCACCTAATCAATACCAAATTGCAACTGACAATTTAAATATCTAGAACATTGTTAGTACTAATATCAAGAAAATGGTCAATAGGCAATAGGAACATATTATAATAAAATTATCAAAAAAAGTTTTGATGATTCATATTGAAATGACAAAGCAAACTAGTCCCATTCATTTCTTGACTTTCACCTGAATGACAGCAAGTACCTTTGTATGTTTACCACTTTCACTCATTATATGTTTTGTCATATAATATGCATGACCTATAAATTTCAGTTTTCTTTTATTTGTAACATAGTGAAACCAAGAGAACTGAAATTGAAATACTAGCCTCTCAAGGTTGAAGCAAACAAAGAGGTTGAAGAACCATTGAATACTACTCAAGTAATTGAACTATGAAACTCTCATCTGAATAAAACAAGTATATTTTTTATGGATAGATATATATGATTTTTCCATTAGCACCCATAAGAAGAAGCGATTTGGTTACAAGTTGAAGAGGCTAGAAGGGCAAGGGGTAGACCAAAAAGGACATGGGTGTAAGAAATCATTTAAACGCCAAAAATTTAACAATGGCTATGGCATTAAATAGAACAGACAGGCAATGGCATTAAATATCTACATATGATTTTTCCTTTATTTTACTTATCGGAGCAATACTCAGCTGTTGTAGCCAGCATCCCTCCTTTTGGGTTCGAGGTAGATGAGTCTCACTTGAATTGATACAACTTTTTATCAGAATTGACACAATTCCAGACTTGTACAATTTACTTTCTTGCAGAGAAATTGTGAGGAAGATGAAAACTAATGAATTGTTTCAAATTCTAAGCATGACACAAGTTTGAGGAGGCTATGATTGAAAGTGGATGGCTTACCATTTACTGACTCCCAGTTAGATTGTTCTGGAAGTCTGAATATATGCCATTTTTATCTTTTCTTGTATTAATTCTTCCTTTTTCAAATAAAAAAAGTGTTCCTTGTTTCATTGGCCACATGCCTTGCCTTGCACCTTAGGAGCTAGGAAGCCTTGCACTTGGTTTCGCCTCACTTTAGGAACCAATGTTTTAAAATGCGTGGGAGGCGTACCCCTTTCAACTAATGTTTTTTTTTTTTTTGATAAATGACCCCTTTCAACTAATGTTATGCATCTTTATTCTTCTTAATATAAAAGATTTTTATTAAAAATAAAGAAAAAATGAGATCCCCCCTTCCTCTTCATCCTCCTCCCCTTCCTCCCTAACCCCCCTCCTCCCCTTCCTCCCTAACCCCCCTCCTCTTAAGGAGGCTTACGCCTCTTGCATTCTGAACTATGCCTCATGCCTCAAGGTAGTGGAATGCCTCGTTGTCACAGGTGACTCCTTCGTCGCGCCATCAAGCACCTACAGTGAGCCATCAGAGTGCCAACCGCGCGCCTTCATGGTGTCAACATGTGTGTCATGGGTGGGCTTTGCTTGTATTTTGTAAGGGGGACCGTCAATGGCGTTATTGTAATTACTTAGTATGCTTTTCCATCATTTTGATGTTTCCTATTGTCACTCCCCCAAAAGCTTAACGTACTCTTTGAGGGGAGGTAGGTAGTCGAGTGAGCTCAAAAGCGT